TATTAATGTTAGGGTTAGAGTCAAGATTAATAATTTTGCTTTTTTTAAACTTTCGAAGTTAATTAATTTCTATTAATATCTATAATACATATTTATAAATAAAAATTATTAAGAAAATATATAACTATGTCCGAGATTTTTGATTATTAAATTTGTATTAATGTTAGGGTTAGAGTCAAGATTAATAATTTTGCTTTTTTTAAACTTTCGAAGTTAATTAATTTCTATTAATTTCTATAGTACATATTTATAAATAAAAATTATTAAGAAAATATATAACTATGTCTGAGATTTTTGATTGAACTTTTATTATTTGTAAAATTTAAACTAGGTACTTTTTTCTTTTGATTAATTTCGGTTCTTTTTTTTTCTTGATAATCAATTTTGGTTTTTTTTTTTTTTTTACTTATTTGTATTCTTTTATTATTTGATTTCGTGGCTTTGACGTTTGATAATTCTTTGTCAACAAGTTCAATCCACACATCGTAGTTACCTACTATTTGATAGTCAATGACCCCATTTCATTCTTTAGTAACTACATTCGTAGCATTCACCATTTTCACGTAACCTTTACATTCATGAACTATTTAGCGAATTTTTTTACAAGATGTTTCACACCAGGAATTCTTAAAGAAGTTCCCATTATTAACAAGCAATCAGCTTTTTTTTGATCATATTCTGCGATTTCTCCAATTTCTAATTCGTTAGGATGTTTGTCACCATAAAGGATCACTGCCAGTTTTAGTTTTCCAACAGTTTGTTTTTGTTTTCCTTGTAAATATCTATCGTATTCTATTTATCAAAGTCATTAATACTTGGTTTTGTTATTTTTATACAATAATAATTGATGCTATGTATTTATCTCTTCTTTCACATTCAGGGCAATTTGAAATTTCACCTTTTGTGAAAATATCACAAGATTCTTGTGTAAAAGAATAGACATTTGTACAAAGTTTATATTGTAAATTTGCCAATGTTCCATGCAATTGAACTACTTGTGATTTGCAACGTTTTAATTTTTCAAAATTCCAAACTTCTAATTCTGCTTTTTCTTCAAGATTATCTATATTTTGTGTATATACTCTTTTTAATTTTTTCATATCTGCCAATTTTTTTATAAACAAATGAGTGGCTGTGGGCTCAGTTTTTAAAACTAAATTGTTTAATTCACCAATAAAATTATAAAATGCTTTAATAGCTTTGTCAGATATATGTAAATTAGCATCAAATAAGTATCTGACCGAATGAAAGCTACTCGTATATTTTTGGTTTATCATTTCAAAAAGACCATTTGAACTTTTAAAATCCTATTGGTAATATAAAATTATAATTCTTCAACTAATTAAAAATGTGGGTTAAAATCAATTGAGATTACTTATGGGTATCCCTCCACTACAAGAAATATCAGCCCCGGCAATAAAAATTAGATTTTTAGAAAGTACAACGTGTCTAACTACTTTTAAGAGTAGCGGATTATTTTTTATTAAATCAAGTTGTTGAACTACTTTTGAGAGTAGCAGATTATTTTTTTTTAAGTCACGATTGAGTGTCATTAATGTATTTGTAGAGTCTAAAATGTATCTTTTTATATTTTTTACTAAGAATTCATTTGTTTTTTTATATGTATATTCGGTTCTTTTGTCTGAATGGTTAATCCAGAGGTTAACTATTTGTAGTTCACTTCTTTAATCTACAGAGATAGCTTTGGAATATGAAAATTCGATTTATACATCCTTAATGTATTATCTCGGTTTTAGCTTTGAATAGTAATTGAATATATACATATATACTGATCTGCATTAACATTTATATATTTGTGAGTTAAATTCTTGAATTTTAAAATAATATATATTAATACAAGCTAAATAATGATTCATTTCATTGGTTTAATTTTTATTTACTCTCAGAAATCTTCAAGTTTGAGATTACGCGTAAAGTTACTTTTTTGTAAATCATTCGGAAAAGACACTGATAAGTATGAACAAAGAAAATTTTACTCACGCGATAACGTAATCTTTATTAGTAATGAATTTTAAATAAATGTTTGGTTGCTTTTTACATGTTTTTGGTCTTTTGTCCGAATGGCTAATTTTGGTATATATTAAACAAAATAAAGCGCTTAGCGTAATTTAAATTAATATCATTTTATTCATATACTATAAAAATAGCATTCGGTCCATTTATAGCAGCTCAAACTTTTGCGTAATTAGTAAGTACGCATAAAGTTTGTATAATTTAAGTAATTTACAATAAGTTATAGTTTAATTAAAATAAGCATGAACAAAGAAAATTTTACTCACGTGATAACGTAATCTTTATTAGAAATGAATTTTAATTAAATGTTCGGTTGCTTCTTACATGTTTTTTCAGTCTTTTGTCCGAATGGTATTAAACAAAGTAAAGAGAGTGCAAATTGCTATTCCCTAAATATATTAGTAAAATCTTGTGAATAAAAGCAACTCAAACTTTTGTATAATTAGTATGTACGCATAAAATTTGTATAATTTAAGTAATTTATAGTTTAATTAAGATAAGCATGAACAAAGAAAATTTTATCATGCGATAACGTAATCTTTATTAGTAATAAATTTTAAATAAATATTTGGTTGCTTCTTACATGTTTTCGGTCTTTTGTCCAAGTGGTTAATTTTTGTACTATTAATAATGAATTTTGTAAATAAATGCGAATAGTATGTAATTTAAATTAATATCATTTTTTCATATACTATAAAATAGCATTCGGTACATTTATAGACCATCTCTTTATAAAAAATTCGGTAATAAAAGCAATTCAAACTTTTGTATAATTAGTTAGTACGCGTAGAGTTTGATTAATACAATAAGCTATGGTTTAATTAATAAAAATAGCATTCAGTATATTTGTAGGCCTTATCTCTATTATAAAAAATACGGTAATTAGCTATTTATATAAAAATAACATTAGGCCATTTGTAGGTCTTAAAAATCTACTGTATAATTAGAATTTTTACGCGAACTGCACATAAAGGTTTGCTTACAATCTTAATTGAAAATTATATTTTATGAATAGAAACATCCAAACTATAACAAAAAAAATATAGCTAGCGTATAACGTAATTTATTCTTATTGGATAAAAACATTTAATCTTTTCTTCCATTCAAGACACGTGATTTCATGCAATTTCAGCTCACAACTTGGCGCATATCGTAGTTTTTCGACAGCACCTTTATAATTTCCATATTCAACTTCGTCCCAATTCCAAGCAGCACAAGTACAAAGATATTTCTTGTTTTTTTTGGCAATAATTATTATTAAGATTAATTTAGGCCAAGCAAAATTAATTAAATGGTTTTCATAACCCGGCCGGGTCAAAATTTGAAAATTTCAAAAAAAAAATTTTTATATGTT